CGACCGAGACTGGGATGTATGCGTTAAGGACGCGTGCAACACGGCACATCCAAATCAAGTTCGTGCATTGTTTGCAATCATATTGACCGCCTGCTCTCCTTCATATCCAACAGAGTTATGGGAGAAATATAAATCGCACATGGCTGAAGATATTTTCCGTCGAACACGCAAGGAAAATTCAAATATGAACATGGATTTCACAGCAGAAATCTACAACGAAGCATTGATAATGATTGAAGATTTGTGCTTAGAAATCGCGAACAAAGTTCTCAATCAATTGGGAATGCCATCACCGAATCGATCTGCTGCTGCTTCGTTCGATGTAGAATTGCGTCGTGAACAAAATGACAACACGGGTGATCTTTTGTCGTATGTGCAATCAAATATTCCTAAGCTAAAGCTTGAGCAAAAAGATATTTACGATCAAATAATGCCAACTGTCAATAATGGGGTTGGAGAAATCTTCTTCTTACATGCGCAAGGAGGAAAGAATTGCTGCCAGAATCAATCTAATTAGGAACGTTTTACCATGTTCAATGGCCATTTCAAAGCAGAATGAGCAGTTCTTCCACCTGGTAGCAATGTTGCAGCTATTCCGGACGACGCAAGAGCTAAGGCTATGAAATTTTGGGATCTGCAATTCATTGGGAAATGTTGCACGTGGGAGTTTGGATGCTTTTTGTGCATTCATCCCAAACAATAAGTTTGCATTTCTGCAATACTTTTCCCATGCCTGGCGCACAAAAAAATCGCTCGATTATCAACACCTTCGTAACAAAGAAAATCACAAATCCAATTAAGATACCAACTGTACCCAAACTTACTATATACTCGTGTCTTCCCTATACTGGTAAACAAAGCTTAACTTTCAAAAATTAACTTAAATGCATACTTGGTCGTTAATACCCTCAAATGGATTTTACATTAGTTTTTAAATCCACATCATGCATACAAAGTTTTTTCCCTACTAAAGATCTCCTCCCCATTCTTTATTGTTCCTGGCTTATCTATCTTTACACATGTGGAGACCGTAAGGCCTCCTATACTGGCAAAACCAAATGCCATTTAAAAGTCAGAGCCTATGAACATATGGGAATTTCCATCAAAATACAAAAAAATTAAGTATCCCCTGTGTTTCCTCTATACGCCAACATAGTGAAGAAAAAGGACATCGACCTATGCTATCAAATTTTTCTATCCTCTGCAAGTCTAGTACTGATCTGGAATTATTGATTAAAGAAACCCTCCACATCAAACAGCATTCTCGAACACTAAACAACATGCAGTTTTCATTTAAATTATATATTTTTTAATGTGTTCGTATTACTGATTTTACTTTTTTTTGTTGTGTTTTCTTGCTGTAGTTTCTCCTCATGATTACTGTTTTGTGTTTTATTTGTATAATTAGACTATTCCACTGTTGTTAAAAAACAATGCTTATGTATGCCATCAGGCCTTAAAACAATATGATAGCTAGATCAATTAAGTATAGCATTAACTTCATTAATACAGAAATGCTGGAAACCTCAAATGGCACTGATTTATCCTCAGTAATTTGTGGATGTTGGCTATTACTAACCCTCAATATAAAATATTAATTTCGTGGCTCATGGCACTAAGACATAAAACCATAAATGTTACTACAATAGCACTGTATTGATTCAATATTTTGTTACATAGGGTTAATTACCCCTTCTCATTACATCACAACTATGTTGGTATAAATTCAACATGTTATTGACTATAATCTCTATTATGCAGCTTTTTTTTGTACAGAGTAAATAAAAAAATAAATAACAGTTTCATCTTCACAGCAAAACTTCACTACAAACTATCATTAAACTCAGCTTAGAAATTTTATGAAAAACAATGTTATTTTATAGCATTCTGTCAATTATATAAAGTTTCTTACTTGAAGACATTAGTTGTGTTTGTGTTCCACTGCCAAAAACACACACATCCATCATTACCTGTAGATATTAAGTAGTGGAGACTTCCTTTAGGGTAAGGACAAAACTGAAAAAACAAGATGTGGGATTTTAGCTTTGACTGAAAAGTATTGTTATACATGATCATTCCATAAAAATTTAACACTGTGACAGTGGGAAGAAGTGAAATGTTTTAAACATCTTAAAATTCCATCACAATACAAAAAGCTGATATCCTGAACACTTTTAAAAATAACTTTGTTAAGCTTCTTTTGTTTCTTCTTGAAGGAAGTGCATAGAAAAATTTAGTACTGTAACTCATTATCTGCATAACATAAGTAACAATATGTTATAATATGAAACACTTAAAAAGGGAATGTTAAATTAACTGTGAATAAAACTGTAGTACTAGTAAAAGCTTCATAAAGCACAAGGGTGTCTTGTTGGGTTATCATGTGAGTGATTAAAAATCCATTATATTTAAAGAAGACAGGGTTATAATGCACTGCTATAAAGATTTAATGTTTTCTCAACTGTGAGTTATATTTCATTCCCAAGCATACAATACAGCCTTGTGAAATTCTCACACCTTTCAAAGGTCTATGTTTCTCATTCTCTAATGCACAAACTATTATCTTTAAAGAGAAACTAGAAGTATAATACAAATGAATTACCTGTAAAGAGGTCACCATTCCTGTGTGACCAGTAAGTACTGCAACAGGTGCAGTAGTTTTTAGACACCAGACACGTATCATTTTATCTACACTGCTTGCTGCAAGAAGGCTATTATCATAAGTGATTGCCATATCTGTGATTTCAGCTGAATGACCTCTGAGAGATGACAGTAATCGACCATCCCAAGAACTCCAAATTTTTACAAGTGTATCATCTGCTCCCTAATGAAAATATGATAATAGTAAATCAAAGTTTATTAATGTGCAAAAGAGATACAGAAGTGAATGAAACATTATTCAGATATCTTGATAATTAATGCATCAGGTATAAACCACAATACTTTGATTCAAACTGTAAGTTTAAAATAACCCTATCCATCACTACTGTATTAATCACAAGTTGTTTATGGGCAAAATATAAACACTCTTAATGAAAAGTACAAAATTTAAATAAAATGTCAGATATTATCATTCAATTTTACAGTTTTAAATCAAACTGATAATAAAATGCATAATTCATGGTACTCTAACTCAGTTTTATTGTATAGTTAACCAAGTCATCATCTCATGACTCTCTTCTCCTAAATGGTTGACATTATGAGGTTTCTCAAAGACACAAGACCTCTCTCATAATTTAAAGTTTTCACTCTCTTGAAAAGAGAGCATTGGCATTGCTCTACCTGCAGAGAACAATAAATGATAAGATGCAGGGCAGGCACTCTGTTGAAAACGTGCTCTTTCAAGTCTACAAGGAAAGAGCACCCAGTTAAGGAGATCAGGGTAAGACTCTACAGACACAGTATAAAACAAGGGAAAAAGATAAACAGTGTTAGACAATATCTATGGAAATTTCTTTATAGTAGTCACTAAGGTAAACTTTCTACCAGAACCAGGATCTGTGCAATCACAGCAGAAGATTGTTTGTTATGAATTTTGCGCAAAGCTACATGAGGGCTATCTGTGCTAGCCGTCCCTAATTTAGCAGTGTAAGACTAGAGGGAAGGCAGCTAGTCATCAACTCTTGGGCTACTCTTTTACCAAGAATTATAATGCCCCCACAGCTGAGAGGTTTGGTGTGACGGGGATTTGAACCCGCTACATGCAGATTACGAGTCAAGTGCCCTAACCACTTGGCCATGCCGGGCCCACACAGCAGAAGAAAGAAACAAAAAAGTTCGATATTTAGAATGGTGCCTGGAGGCATTCCCAGTAAAAGCACAAATATGGAATTAAAAGGAAAGAAGCACTAAAAAAAACATATCTTCACACTCATTAAAGAAAAATACATAGTGTTATTAGTTCTTTGAGAGGCAAAACAGGGAGTATAATTCACAACTCAACCAGAGAAAAATCTATGAAATAAGGTCTGTATAATTATCTTAGCAGCACTGTTGAAAGGAATACTGAGGCAAAAAAAAAATTTGAGGTAATGCAAATAGAAAGAGACAAATATTAAGATCTACAGGCTGCAGAAGCACAAAGATGAAGACTGCTGAATTTAACAAAAAAACCACAATTAAAAAAAAGATACTTGAAAGAATAGAAACTCCAACCAACTACTTGTGCCTTGTCTTAGCCTTTACAAAGAAAACTGATTACCCATCATCTGTCTTGAGCAGCAATGTAACTTAAAAGATTCAGCTCTAATTAACTTGAATTAAACATTCCAAACATCCAGACTTAAACTACAGAAGCAATATAACAAAGACTAAATCTAAAATTATTTTGCACACTTAAAAGGTGACGATTAAAATCTGCAAAAAAATGGGTGAACATACTCTGAAAGAGAGAAAATATGATCAACCTGATGATTACAAAAAGAATGTTTCTGTTTCACAACACTTGAGTTATTCTTTTTCGATGACAAGGAACCCACTTTGAGACTAATAATGGCTGGAGACGGCTTAAATGGGTAATGAAGAAAAACTTTAATATAAGTTTAACATGACAGCAAATGTACAACGTTTCGACAAGGTTTTGTCATCCAACCAACACCCCGGGGTGCCTAGATACCTCTTCTAAGTTTCACAACAGTTCTGGTCATGTGACTTCT